AGAAGCCTGGTTCTACCTTCTCTACATCCTCCCATTAGGCATTTGTACATATGGTTAAGATCCCCCAGGCCTTCTCTCCTTCAGGATAAGCAGTCCTAGCTGTCTCCACCTCTACTCACGTGACAGAAGTTCCTGTCCCTTACACGTGTAAGGGACACAAGTAATGCCTGTCTCTGGACTCGCTTTGCTCTGCCCATGTCTCTCTTTGTACTGCAAGTGGGACAAGCTGTGGACACACCACACATGGTCTTACCACGGCTGAGCAGAGGGGAAAGGTCACTTCCCTGGGCCTGCTGGCAACACTCTTCCTAATACAGCTCCAGGTGCTGTTGGTTTTCATAGCTGCCAGGGCATGTAGCTGGCCCATGGTCAACTTGGCATCCATCAGAACCCCCAGGTCCTTTCCTGGAAAGCTGCTTTCCAGCCAGTTGGCCTCCAGCATCTCCTGGCATATGGAGATATTCCTCCCCAGGTGCAGGAGGCAATCAACAACAGAAATGGGAATGGCACTGGGACACATGGGATGGAAGAGGCTTCTTAAGACCTACCTGACAGATCAGCATCTGCTAGCAATGCAGATTTCTGCAAGTTCTCCTTGTCTCCTCTGGATTGCAAAGATCACTGCTGAGTATATGTCTATTTAAAGTGCAGCTAAGTCAAATAGGTACTTGGTTAAAATGCAAACATTTTGCTCAGCATTCCTGAGTCAATCCACATGACACTATGTGATACCATAAAAACACTGACATGGCAGAAAAAAACATTACTTTCCCATGCAGTATCAGCAAAACATGTTCAGCACAGGTATTTCCCTGACCTGCTGGCTGTGTTTTGCATTGGAAAACCTCCTCCTTCAGTGCTGTAAAATGATGATCTAGTAGCATGACTGTGCTCTCCCTACCCAATCTTAGCCTTTCTTGAGTCAGTTCCACATCCTGTATCCCTTTAAAACCTCTTTGGGCTCCAGTGGGAGTTTTGTGCTTGCTACAGCCCAAAGCCAGTAAATACAGCGCTGCCCTGACCTGGACTGAACAACTTTTGCTATTGGGTTCTTTATAACGCCCCAGGGAAGATGCTTCTTTCTGGTTTTACAGATACTAAAAACCAAACAAACAAAAAAGTAAAAAAACTGTGACCAGAAAACCCAATGAACCTATAATATCTGTGCACAGGCACCTGATCACTCCAGCAGCAAGCCAGGCAGTGTGGCACAGCTGTCAGTTCCCCTGCATGGCACATTCACAATTAGCACACCACCTCGAGGGACACTGAATTCCAGACAACCTCCTGTAGCAGTCAGTGACCCTTTCTAAATGGGGTTGATTGGTATTATTAGGAGATAACATCTGTGTGGTGCGACATACTGATGTGAGGTGAGAGCCTCGGAGTGCTTCAATATAATTTGGAGGATGCCTTATCAAGCAGCAACTGAAGGCATGTATTACAGTGCAATCAAAGAGGATGATCAACAAGCTAAATTAAATAGAAATGTGTGCCCTTTCTCTTATTTTAGCTCCAAGGACAGAAAGACTTAACAGGATTAGAAATATTGCAGTGTCGTATCTGTTTGTCTAGCCATATTTTGCAAGATACTTTTTTTTTTTTTTCTTTCTTCAGACATGGCTGCTTATTCATTCACCTTCACTAGAAGGAAATGAAAACAAAGTGCAGTAAAAATATGACAGACAGTAAGAACAAAAAAGCCCAATCCATTTCCCAAAATGATTCTGAATTTCCCTCAGTGCAGGGAACTGGAGCTTGGTTTTACACCACTTTTGTACAGTAAAATGTATTAACTTCCTTGAATTTTCAATGACAGCAGAATCAGAGTCTGGATGTTTCAAACCCCACCACTGACAACAAATAACACCTTTCCTCTAGTTCCAGATCAGGTCTGAAAACTCTCTAGTATAACCTTACTGTGGCTTTTAACTATAGATTCCAGAGCTCATAGGCATTGCATAGGCATCAGCGATCTTTTCAGCAATATTTAAAGTGTGTATCTGCAAGCATATGCAAATTACAAATATGTGCATGCATGTGTGTATATGATGTGTTTACATTTAAAAATGGAGCTGCTGTGAAAGCTGACTGACTTGTTAACGTATCAGCTGAATTTATTTTAACACACACTGGCAGATCTCCCAATTGCCATATTACAGAAAATTAGTATTATGTATATTCTGATCTATTAATCCGGTGATGGATGCGTAGGAAGAAACACCCATTTGTATGCTGAGAAGCACGGAGAGAAAGGTTTATTCACTTTTCAGTGGGACTTTGCAACTCAGAGACACAGCAAACATAATACAGCCCATGTGTCTCTTGAATAGAGCTTGTCTAAAGTAAAGATGTACAATGTATGCTTTTTACCTCCAAGAGAACTGCCATAAACATCTCGTTTTTGTCATTAGAAAATCTACACCATTCTCCAGGTCTGCCTGTGATTCCTGGAAACTCATATACTCAGATAACAGTGTTTTATGAGTGTGAAGACATTCTGCAGAACAGTTTTCACTAAGTTGGGATGGACCCTGTCAGCAGGCAAAAGAAGAACATGGGTACTGAATCTCCAGATTTAAAACTGTAACTTCATCACGTCCATTGCAAGGGCACAGGGCTCTCAAATCATGGCTGGCAGAAGATAAAGAGCCTGGATTCAGGAGATCCCAGAGAAGAGTTATGGACCTTCTGTACTTCAACCCTCTCTGCAAAATTCACAGCCTGCTAACACCTTTCCCTCCCTGGGCCTGCCATGGGCTCTGTCCCCAGGATCTGTCTGGCCATCCTGAGCTGCACCACCATGTGTGATACCCCATCCACACAACAACTCCCAAAGCAATATGCCCCTTCTTCTTTCTTGGGTCCAGCACAGCACAGCCATTTAACCTAAGTTTTATCCAACTGCTAGGTACCTCTGTCCTTGAAGGAAAAGTACCTCTAGCCAGACAGTACAAATTACAGTCCTGGTGTCATGACTGGCTTTTGGGTCTTCTGGTTTCTTCCAGATCCAGCTCAACAGTGCTTTAAATCTTTTTCTGAAATGTTAGATTACAATGCAGTGTAAGATGTTCAGACTTCCTCTCCCCCTTCCCAGTTGTTTATGTATAACATGAACCAAAAATATGCCTCAGGTGTGTCCCTTTTATGATCTAACCAGGAAGGGAATGCTAGAGAAATTGTGTTCTTTTAATTACTCTTAGAAAGATGACTTACATGGGTATTTAAGGTCTAATTTTAGCAACTTACATAACTTCTAGTGGAAATCTAACAAAGTAAATCAATCAGCATGATCAAGAGACAGCACAATTAAATCATTCAACCTAAAAGTACTAAAACCATCACCTAAGTACTTAAAGCAAAAATGCATACAAGTAGAAAACAAATTGCTTAAGCAGCCTGTAGGTTGCATTAAACAAAATTGCTGTTGCCAGAAAGGCACTGACCCTGACAACCATGTCACAGGAGTCATGCATTCCAAAACAAAATCAAAATCTACCTTACATTGTAGTGCAAAGGCAGCCAGCTCTGGGCTCTAGGGAAGCGCGTTGCAAAGCAGAAGACCTTTGCAGAGAAATACCTTTCACTGATCCTAGAGAGTTCATTTAATAGAGTGTCCCCAGGTGATTTCTATCTGCTACAATGATGAACAGGCTGAAAGGCAATATCTCTGATATAGAAAACAGAAGAAAAGAGAGCAACTAAACAAAAGCTGCTCAAGGCACTGACACAAATATCCCCCCAAAATAACAGTAGCAAATTATTTGGAATGGACATAAAATGCAAGTTTCAGAGCTGAAGTCAATGTCTAGATGAGAAAGAGATCACGCGAAGACAGTTCAATTGGGTAGATTCTCCTCTATGTGCCTACTGCATAGTTAGACAGTTCTCCAGAGCATTTGGAAATTTACTGACTGCTGTCAGAAAACCGTCTGTTCTCACATCTTTATGCCTCCCACTAGAGCAGATCTGTGATCTCAGGAGAAGAGACACAGCCTCCCTGGTGAAAAACGTTGTGATAACATAGCTTGCTGGGAGAATGTCTACTTAGAATGATGTTAACTTGGTTTGTGCTTTGAGGAAGACAGAAGTGTAGGTATTTTAAGGATGTGGTGTGGGATGGGAGGAGGTGGGAGCAGACTTATCTCATACACACATGCTTTTAGCACAAAGCTTCCTGATGGTGAACAGCGGGACTAGGACTACTGAAATTTCAGCATTTAGTCTCTCTCTTTACTGGCAAACATGGCTCCAGCCTTGGTACCTAAACAAATGCTAGCAGAAGAGTCTAGATTCTCCACATCTTTCAGATAAATGAAACCTTGCCAAAGGAGAAGCAAATGGTAGAATAGCACAGCAGTGACAAAAGCTCTGATCCGACAGTCTGGGCAGAATGCTGTGCTCATGCAGGGCCTCGATGACTTTAATAAGTCACAGAAGCAGAGCAGTCCCTTTGCATACTATCAACCAATAGCCCAGGACCTAATTCAGTATGCAGCTCCACACCCCCATCATGTTGGCAATGAGTCAGAATTGGTGAGACAACTTGCAAAGGAAAAAAAAAAAAGCAACATTTTAAACCTAATTTAATGTTAGCTTTTGATGTGACTAATATCAAGGCATTTTTTCACTTCTGTTTAATCAAAATTAATCACTAAGATTACTACAGTAATTTATGTTGGAGATTATTGAAATGAGTGTTTTATTAAAATCTGGTTTTATTAATAAAACACATTCTGGCTATGGGATCTTACAAGTCTGCTATTAGAGACTATTAACTGGGGACTGGGAGTTAATCATAACAGCCATGCTGCCAGGTCCTTTGACAGCAACACACGCTGGGTTTGTTTCTGCTTTTACTTTTACTAGCATATTCAAGTCAATTAGTTACCCCAGCACATGAGCATTCAGAGTAACTCCTGTAAAGCAGGGAATGGAGACAAAGGTACATACGTCTCAGTAGTTTTGAACAAAGAAACGGTAATCAGAAGGAGACTCACCAGCCTGATTAGTCGTGATGCTGACAGCAGCAAACTGTCTGGAAAGTGTACTCAAGTCGGATACCCCATTGACTGCATCAATCTCAAAAGTGTAATTAGTATGTGCCAAAAGGTCCACTACTGTCACCGTGGTGTTGGTGAGGCCAGTTTGACTGGGTAAGAACCGCACATTGTCACTACACGGCTCACACAGCTTGCTGCTTCCTCCACATTTTTTGCAAATGATGTTGAAAGTGACATCTTTCCGACCTCCTGTGTCAAGGGGCCAGCTCCAGTCCAGGATAACAGACGTCTCGTTGATGTTAGAGATAACGTTTCTTGGAGCAGAGGGTGGTCCTACAAAAGGAAAGCAAACGCATGTGTTTTTCTGTAGTGTGCTAAGATGGGGGTATCAAGGACACAAAAATACAAAAGCAAGTAACATAAATAACCAATCTCCTCTAGTCAATTCCTGTAGAGAGAGTTGTAATATTTCACTGGACTGCAGACCTAGTCTGTCAAGGACCATGTTTTAGTATAAACAGTTGTTACTCTAAGGGAACAGTTCAGGACTAAGGTCTGCTTTACTAGAGTTGTGCAGGACAGCTACTGGTAATTGCACTTGGATTTTGCTGAAGATATTGTTAACAGTTGAAAAATCCTAGCTCTCCTTTTGGGGTCAGGCAGAGAATACCAAGGAGAAAGTGAAAAGGCATAAACCTAGCCCAAGAATCTTTGGTAACCTAACACGTAAGAAAACATGGCAGGCAGTGGATGGGTGACAGCAATGGAACATGAGAGGAAGCAAGCAAGCTGCTCAGATACAGATGGAGGAGCAAGAACGACAGCCCCGAGCACAATGATGCTACTCACTGGTGCAAGCCATGGATGGAGGGTCTTTCTCAGAGCGAAAGTAATTCTTTTCACACCTGCAGTTCAGAGACGCGTCTTCATAGGTAGAGCTGTGAGGTGGACACTTAGCACATTTCACGTTGCCAGCAGAGGCTTTGTAGAACCCAGGTCGACAGGCTGCAAAATGACAGGAGTGGAGTTTTAAATTCCATGCACATGTCCTCCATTTTAACAGGTGATCTGGTTATTATCCTGGAATCTATCCATATGTAGATCACATCTTGGGGAAGTTTATGGTCTAAAACCCAGAGTTTTCTCATAATGAGAAAACTCATAGAAATAAAACCTCTTAGTTGAATGAAACAAATCAACTTAGATTTGTATTTAATTTTGCCTGTATAGCAAAACAGTACATTGCACCACCAGGAAGAAACATTTTCTGTATTGCATTATGAGAACTTCACTTTTTTTTTTTTTTTCTTCCTTCTTCTCTTCTGGTTAATTAACCAAAACATGGGCCTTGTCCTGTATAAGAAGTTAACTTCATCCTCTCCCTGTTGCCAAGGCTTACCGACAAGGGGACGCTAATTATAACCTATGTCTATTCAGTTTGGCATGACTAAGCCAGCCAAAAGGAAGAAAATAACCTAAACAGTATAAAATGTATTCCATTTCTGAAGGCCTATGCATCAAACTCAAAGAGCTGCTTCTGATCCTGATTGACTACTGGGAACTTTCATGGTCTGTACTAAGAGGATGCTTTTTGCATTACCCAGTCCTCTAAGGATGGAGCTTGAACCCACAAAAGATGCTTTTGACAAAGCCCTGGTGGTGATGTTTCATTAACATTTGCACACACCCTCTGTTTTGGCTCCTGTTGCATTTCAGACTGATTCATTGCCACATTTGCATCAGATGAAAACAGCCTTTGAAATAAGTTACAGAAATGAACAATCAAGTAAATAGCTTTATGAAAAACCCATGTAGTCAAATAACATGGTTGACTTCTTTCCGCTAAGATGATCTCACCATCTGAAAACCAAAAGAAATATATTAAACCCAAACCAGATAACACCACTCAGACTCTACTGTTCAGCTGCGGTTTCTCTCCAAGGCACACATTCTTCTCTGAACAGCATTTACCCAGCACAGTTGCTCTGCTGACACTGGTCACCTGCAGGTCTGTACCCACAGCTACAACAGCAGTACACAAACAGACAACGTAACAAAAGGAAATGCATCTGAAAACTCGTTCACCTTTTGCTACACTTCTATTCCACAGGAAACACTGCCTAATGCACTAGCATGCTAGGAAAACTGCTTTTTGTGTCAGACATTCAAGCTTGAATAAAATGGCTCTGGACCTGCCATGGATTTCAATGTTAATTTGAAGCCAAAGGAATAGGTTTGTCATCTTAGCATGAAGCTAAACAGGCACACCTTGTTCATTTTTGCTTATGGACATGAGCTTATTTATAAACGTAATATGCAGGATTCCATTCATTCGTGCACTGCCCAAACAGAATAATAATTAAAAAAAAAAAAAAAAAAAGTATTTCAAATGATCAGTTTGAGGTGAAAAAGTGCCAGAATAAGAACCCCAACACCTTTTTAAGGGATGGAGGAGAGAGAGAAGGTATTTAAAATGGCCATTCAGCTTCCACATAATGATCCATAAATAAATCCTAACTGAATTTCTGGGCTAGGCTTACTTGTTCATTAGTTCCCAGTGCCAAACACCCAAGTGAAACACGCTGAAGGGAAATCAAAACCCAGTACAGCCACATGTCCTGTTCTGATACATCTTAATACAGAAAAACCTCCTTGCACGGCACTGAGCCCGGCTTGAGCAGTATAAAATGTTTCACAAGGAAGCGCTAATCTCAGCCACCCTTCAGCACTTCCCAGCCCTTGCAAATAGATGCTGCCTGGCTGCAGCTGCTACCTCCTACTGCCACACTACTGAAACAGCTGAGAAAGACATCTCCCACTTCACGATCTCTCCTGCAAGCCCTAATGAAACAATCCCCAGTTTCAGCCTCTGATGCGTGGTGCCACCAGACAATCTGTGAAAGCAGAATTGCTAAAAATGACCTCACAGCAGAGCTTGCAGAGCCTAACACCAATCTGTAGGATCTGGCACAGCCTGCCCTCCTTCAGTCAGGGCTGTTTTTGTTTCCATCTCCTCTGAAGCTGCAAGGGTCTTTGGAGACTTTTGTTTGCTTAACTTGAGGAGAATAAAGGAAACCTTGACCCCTCTTAAACACCTCCGCTAGGAGAAAATACAGCAGAAAACAAGAGTTGGCTTCTGGGGTTTTGTTGCTGTAGCAGTCCTCAGATCTCACCCCTCCCAGCTATTGCCCCATGACAAGCAGGTCACACCTAGAGCAAGTTTCTGTTCCCCCTCCTGCTGACAGAGGAGCTTCCGATTATTTTATTGCCTTGTGGCATGGAATGGCTGTTCCTGGCCCAAAGAAAAGAAGCGATGTCAACCCCATCCTTACCATTACCACTCACCGAGAAAGGACATAAAAAACAAGAATCATGCTGCCTCTATGTATACATTCACACAGCATGCTCATCAAAACTTCCTATGGAAACTCAAAACCAGTTATTAAACATTTAACCATATCTACTTAGCTTGAAGGGACATTTTTAAACTCATGGGAAAGCATACACCAGACAAAGATGTATTTATGAGTACATACAGCATGAATCTTTTTTTTTTTTTTCCTAATAATTGTATATACTAGCTTAACATAAAGATTGCAGAAAGACTAGTAATGTAAAACTGAACCTTTGTCATGTACTTGGTTTTCCTACAGGACCCAGTTTCAACTTCTTATGAAGCATAACGTATTCATAGCATTGTTAACACCTGAGCATTCATTCATGGAATGCAACTACAGTAAGACTGCTTATTTGGGACACATTCAAAGCACCTACTACCAACATTTTAATACAATAATGAATTAAACATCAAAAAACAAGCTTGCACAAGCAGTAGACTTATTATGTAGGGTAAGGATGAGAAACGAAGGAATCAAATTGCTCCGTTAAGAAGTGCCTCAGATGAAAACCTGCAGACCCCATTTAGAGAAGTTGGTGGTTGTGTGGGGAAGGAGAAGAAAGGAAGAAGCAGGAGTATGCAGGAGGCATTCTGCTTGAGCCAGATCAGGCTTTTTCTCTTCCAGAGGGACAGAGAGGTCCCTGTTTCAGGCTGCTGCCACCACTGCACTGAACGAGCAGTTGGGTTGGGGGGGGGAAGCGCTGCTGGAACCCTGCTGCCCCTGCACGTTCTAGTGAGGGCATCCCAATCTAAGAGCTTCCCCTTGGGCTGTCTTGTGCTTGTTGTCTCTGTCTATCAGACCAATTTAAGATTATTCAGCTCCGCAGCCCACAGGAGAAAAAAAAAATCCATTATACTTGAAATTGAAGCCTGGAATGGGGGTGTGCCAATAAGAAGCCATCTCAATGCATTTACAATTATTATTTTCCTAATAATTGCTTGTTTCTGGTATATAAGAGAAAAGAGCCAAAGTCCTTAATTCAAAAGGCATTCTTTATGTCAGAAAAACTGGATTACATGAACTAACGGAAGAAAGTTTGGCTTTTTGAGGTGAACAGCTTTGATTTCAGTCAAGTTGAAAATAAGTACTAGCACACCAAGTCTTCACTGAATCTGTAATTTCATCACGGGAACCAGTTGTGAGAAATGCTTGATTTTCCTTAACTTTTTCTTTTAGAAGCCAAGGAATTTTTTTTCCCTTGCTTCCATGTTGTTTTCAAGTGGAAAACAAAAATGAGGCTATCCATTTCTTTAGTTGTTTAATATACTCAGTTCAGTAATAGGCTAATGTTCTAAAAGATAAAAAAAAAAAATGGGGGTGGAGGAGGGGACCACAAGTCTATACTTGTGTGTTTTTCTTGTTAAGCATTCAAAGCCATCCAAATTCTTGGTAGCAGTAGTGTGGACACAGGGCTGGCAGAACAGCTGCTTGCAGCAGGCTCCAGACCCTGGTGCTGCTACCACTGCTGTGGCCCCAGTGCCTGCTCCCTTCCTCAGAAGGGTTCAGAGCAGGGGGTGGTGAGAAATTGTCCCCAGGGTCGTTCATTGCCACCGCTGGGGGTGGAGGAGAGCAAGGAGTTTCCCCACCACCTGCAGCTGTCGCTGGTGAGAACTAATCCCCAGAGCGGGCTGCTGGAAGGGGAGCGACACGAGCGGAAAGATGAGAAATGGTCCAGGAACAAAAACCTCTCAAGACACCAAAAGGGAGTAAAAGAAAATTTGAGGGTTTCTATATATGCCATGTACACCATACAGCAAGGCTGTTTGGTTTTGCTTCTTAAGAAGTTCTCCTCAAGTCAGATGCCCAATACCTGTTTGCACTGGTACCTCCTGTGCTAACTCTAATCAGAAGTCATTTAAAATCATATTTGGTCGTATTTCAGTCTCTTCTGCCTAAGTGCGAGCCATGCTGGCTTCACTGAAGTTGCTTGCTGGAGTTTCAGGACTGCAGTTGTCTTTGTTAATGTATAAAAATGAGTTCCCTTAAGCTAAAGTTGATGAGTGTCTTACAGAGTGGAGAAAGTTACTTCAGTGAAAGAAAAATAAATGTATGTAGCAATTCATAGTAGTTACTGCTGAAAGAAATGAGACCGTCTTTTCAACAACCAGGTGAGCTTTGCCTCCACCCAATGTGTTTGACTTGGGGAGGAAAACACGTTCCTAATTAAGGATTATACAACTGACTTCAACTTGAATTAACTTGAAATTAAAAACTACAGCTGTCAGGGGCATTTCAGCATTCAGACAACCTCATGGCCCCAGCACACTGGTGCTGGCAGAGCCCCTTGGTGGGCACAAGGGCACCGTAGCAGCCCCTTGCTCCTCGTGTCACTGGGCCTCCCTCCGCTCCTTGTGCCAGGAATGGAGGTGCCAGGCTCTGGGGCAAGGCCTAGGCCATGCAGCGTGCTGGAGGTGGATATGGCTGCGGCCACCAAACAATCAGAGTTCCCCTGCTGTTTGAGAAGACAGCCTGAGAGCAAAATGCCACTGTGGCACTGAACCACAGCACCTGGCACCTAAGGGAATGTAAAGCACTTTCACACCCATACACCTGTGCGCATGCAAAATGAGATGTGACACAGCTTTCAGCTTGTGAAAATGGATGACA